CACACACACACACACACACACATACTGTGTGTGTTTGTGTGTGTATATATGTATATGTGTGTGTGTTTGTGTGTATGTACATATGTATGTATGTATGTATATATGTATGTATATATATACACTTGGTTCTGGAAGATTTGGTTCTCTTAGCTTTCAGAAATGAAACCAAACTCAACAACTTATCTTTTACACTTGGAAGAGATAATCTTTAGAGATATTCATTGGTATATACATCATTTGCATGTAATAGATTCCAAGTTCCTTTATTTAATGTATCCCCAAATTGGGCTGAAAAAAAACCACGCTTGCGACAGTATAAATCACTATAAATTGGGAGCGTGCAACTTTTCTGAACCAGTAGTATCTTAATACTTAGGAGGTAATTCAAGGGTTTGCAAAAGGGTTGCGCATTGGCCCCTTTTGCTTCCCGCCCCCCCCCCCCCCGGAGGCTTCAGGAGGCTTCCCTGAAGCCTCCGGAGGGAGAAAAATGGCCCTACAGTATATACTTTCCACCTAGCTATGTTGAGAGTACAGGATTCTACCTCAGATCTTTTAGTCATCACCTTCAGAGGTGGGACTGAGGGCTACAAAATATGGGCTCAGGGGCTGCACTAGAGATTGGTCACCTATGGTGTAAACAGCTGAGGAGATGTGTAGTCAATTTAGAAAATGCAACTTCCATCAGGAATGTGTGAATCAGTACAAATCCAATCTGTTTTGCAGTCCATGTTTTAATTTGCATAAAGAGCTTTTGTACAAATTTTTTCCTCATATAGCATTTTTAAAATCAATTCCCTACTATATCTTCTTAATAAGGAAAAGTAGGTTTTCTTCACAAGAACATAACTACTGTGTTTCTCCAAAGAGACAACCCACCTTGAAAAGAAGCCTATCACGTTTTTGAGCGCATGTGATCAAATTAAGCCCGACTCACAAAATTAGCCCTAATTAAGACCCTGCCCTCCCTGGAGTGCAGGGGCTGGGGAAAGGTACACAGGTAAAAAATAAGCTAGGGTGGGGATGGGGCAGTGGAGCTGCCCTACTTACTAGGCCTCACACCAGTGGTGGGTTTCAAAATTTTTTGGAAGCTCTTCTGTAGGTGTGGCCTGCTTTCCGGGTCCACTAGTGGAACCTCTTCTAACCGTTTCGGTAGATTTGATGAACCGGTTCTACCGAACTGGTGCGAACCTGTAGGAACCCTCTGCCTCACACACCCCAAAACCTACCTTGTCTTCTTCTGCAGCCGCTTGCCACCACTTGGATGCATTGCCCCAGCCTCTATTTTACCTTTAGATGCCTGCCAGAAGATGAAATGGAAGCCAGGGTGATGCATACGAATGGTGGCAAGCAGCCAAAGAAGAAGTGGGCCAGTAGCAGGCTCCTGCTGGGCGGGATTGTTGGTGCCACCACCATGAGGTGAGTCAATAATTAGAACCCTCCAAAAAGAAAGCCTAGCTGTTTTTTTGGGGGGGGGAGGGGAAGAAAATAAGACCCAGCCTTTTTTTTTTGGAGAAACACTGTATCATGTTTTTGTATAGAACTTTCAGAAACCTTCATGTTTTCTTTTTCAGACACAACTGGGAAAATGTTTTTATCCAATGCAATTCGTTCATTGTAATTCAAGGTGTAGCACATCTTAGTTTAGACATATCTCACAAATGTGATTCCAAAGAAATCTAGGCCATATTGTTTTTATAGGCATTTATCTTTGGAAACCATTCTGCAGATATTTCCACTGAAAACAAAAAACACATCCCCCACTATGCAAGAAAAAAAAATATGGATTTAAAAAAAGTGGTAACTGCCTGTGAACAATTGACTTTATATCCTGCTGAAAGACAGAGACAGCTGCTTTTCAAACTTCATTATACAACCTTGTTATTAAATTACTTACATCAAGAAAGCTAACATCAATATGCAGATCAATATCTACATCATCAATGGCTCCATATTCCCTGAAAGGAAAGAACATTACATTATATCTAAGTCTGGTATTTTTGATCATGCTTCCCAAGCTAACTGGCTATCGGAAAAGCAGTTTAAGCAGAAAATCTATGTTTTTACAGTGAAAGGGATTTGATTTGCCAATGGATTAGGATAAATAATTCTTTAGTGATAGAGTAAATGTTCTGTATGCTGCAGGTCCACTATTCATAGTTCAGGAAAACCTTGAAGAGTGCATGCTAGTGAAAATAGACAGGATTTGACTGGATGAACAAATAGTCAACACTAAAGATGAATGAGCTAATATAATAGCATCTCTTCCAATAAAGAACCTTTTAAAAAATTATAGCCAATGAATAGTATTTGGAAATGTGATTTCACTGAAATCAATATTTGCTTAATAATAAAATGATAAAAGGGAATATTTGTAGCCCAGGGTTGAACGGTAGGGTCCTTAATGTTCTGTGAGCTTAGTTGTTTTCTGGCAGACATTTCATTCCTAAAGTAGGTAACGTTATCAGTGCACTGGGTGATGTTATTTAGTTTGGTAATGAAAGGTTAAAGTATCAAGCAAACATGGTTATTTTTTCAAGCTCATCAATTATAAGCATTGTTAAAGCTCATCTGAAGAATCAACACTGTATTCCCACAGACTTTTCATATATAAGAAAACTATACTTCAGAATTTAAAAGGAATCTAAGAGAAAAAAAGAATTAAAAATGTTTTGGTTCTAATGCAGGCTTCATAATAGCAAGAATTTATCTTCTAGAACACGAGTGTCAAACTCCCAGCCTGCGGACTAGATGCATCACCCATGCCCACACCTGATTTAGCAAATTGGGGGAAACTCCCGATATATCACATGACGCCTTGACAATGTGAGTATGACAGCCCTGTTCTAGAATGAATCTGGTTGGAACCAAGAGTTTTGTTATTCCTTCAAAAGAAAGAAAGATTAGGTTTTCTAACTTCCCTGACAACAATTTTACCTAGCATTTTCTAGGATAAAGGTATACTTCCATGGACGGTGTCCAGTATTCGGCAATTGGTATAATACCTATCTTTTATATTTAAGAAAAAGCTCAGTCTCTGGATAAAAATCCATATAACAGTAATTAGGCAGCAAACCTCTTAAATTGCTAAATTCAATTAGAATAACAATGTGCAGCAAACACATTCTTTTTTCATCTACATATTATGAAAGACACTGCTTTTGAAATTTCATTTCAAGAAGGAAGGAACTTTGGTAAAAAAAATTCATGGGTGGTCTTCTTGCACTTATTCTAGTTTCAAGGCATGTGTGTGTGTGTGTGTGTGTGTGTGTGTGTGTGTGTGTGTGTGTGTGAAAGAGAGAGGGGGGAGGGAGGGAGGGAGAGAGAGAGATTAAGTGCCCAATTGATCTTTCTGTAATCATCCCTCTGGCAAACTGCAGCCTTCCTGGCTTCCTCATGTTCACCCACAGCCAAGAGAAGACACCATAAGCAGACTCTTCCAAGGTGTGTGTGTGTGTGTGTGTGTGTGTGTGTGTGTGTTATGATGTGTTGATAGATAGGGAATATTCAGAAAAGAACACCAGCAGCAGTTGCCTCTGCTATCATTTCTAAAAAGAAAAATTTAAAAACCCTCAAACTTCCCCCAAAATAAGTTAGGAAAACAAACATCTCCATAAAATTTTAAAAAGTTGCAGGGCAGTTTTTGGCACAGTGTTCAGAATCTTCTTAGTATGTTATAGGAATTTCCAAATCATACCAATCAAAAAATGGATCGCCTATCCCCAAATATCCTCCCCAGGTACAAAATATTCATGAACCAAAACTGGTTAAGCAGAGAACATACACTGTCATACTGTCCCCAGATTTTCCTTATTACCCCAGTTTGCCCCTATCTCGAATGGTATGATTGTTGCGCTTTTAAATTATGTATTGTTTTGTGTTATTGTCAAATTGTTTGTATCCCCCCTTCCCTTGTTTTGAGTTGTGAGGCGCCCTGAGTCCCCCTCGGGGGAAAAGGGCGGCATACAAATGAAATAAACANAAAAAAAAGTTTTTGCACTCTATAAACCTCCCCAAAATGGCCCATTTTTCGTGAAAACAGGCCCGTTTTTTTCAAATAAAAGGCATGAATAGCAAGTAGGTAGAGGGATAGAGGTAGGTAGGCATGAATAGTAAGTAGGTAGAGGGATAGAGGTAGGTAGGGAGAAAGATAGAGTAGATAGGTAGGTAGGTAGATAGAGGGAGGCATGAATAGCCTGGGGGGGGGAGCTTGCAGAGTGCTCCTGGGGGCCAGGGGGGGGCAAAAATGGCACATTTTTGCTCATTTCTGCCCTCCCCAGCCCCCAGGATCTCTCTGAAAGCCTTCATAATGCCATTTTGGTGAAGGGGTGGGGCTTCGGGGGGCAAAAAATGCTGTATTCGATGTATAAGATGCACCCAGATTTTCAGCCACTTTTTTGACGAAAAAGGTGCATCTTATACTCCAAAAAATACGGAAATCCTTGATTTACAACTATTGGTTTAGTGACCATTCAAAGTTAGGGTACTGAGCTTATGACTGCTTTTCACACTTCTAACCACTGCAGCATCCCTGTGGCCATATGATCAAAATTCAGACACTTGGCAACTGATTCATATTTATGACAGTTGCCGTGTCCAGGGTCATGTGATCAGTCAATGGGGAAGCCAGATTAACTTAACTATTTTACTAATTTAACAACTGGAGTTATTCATTTAATAACGGTGGCAAAAAGGTCATAAAATGGAGCAAAACTCATGCTTAGCAACAGAAATTTTGGGGTCAACTGTGGTCGTAAGTCAAGGACTTTCTGTAATGATAAAAAAAGAGAATAAAACCTGCTAGTTTTTTTTAAAAAAGGAAGCAATAATTTAGGCAGCTGATATAATCAAAGCAAATAAATGTATTAACATTTCTCCAAAAGCTCTTCACCACGAGGATCTACTTATTTAGTCGCTTATCTGAGATGGTATAGGTTCTCCTACTTGAGCAGGGGGCTGGACTAGAAGTCCTCCAAGATCCCTTTATTCTATTCTATTCCATCCCATCCCTATCCATATTCATATCCCTATTCTATTTTCTATTCCTATTCCTATTATCTGATAGTATTACACAAAAGCATTCAAATGATATTCCCAGGATCCCTAGAGCTGTCAGCCCATCTTCAGGGACAATAATAAAGAAAACCCTTCCCTGACTCTTATTTACTGTATATTCTGCCATATAAGGTGACTGGGCATATAAGATGATCCCCTAGTTTCAGGCGCCCTTGAGCCGGATGAAGGCCTCCACACAGCCGGGCTTTCGTAGTTTGAGCTCAGCACCTTCCTCCTCCAGACAGACCTTACTAAGCCATCCCAGCGCTCATCCATCCACGTGCCCAGGCGAGGAGCACCAAGGTTATAGATTGAAAGGACGGCGTCTGCGCTGGTGGCGGCATGGCTTTTTGATTGGTGGCGTTGCTTTCTTTCTTTTGTTTTTTTTTTTGGTATACCCAGTGTATAAGACGCCTCCCAATTTTTGAATTTTTTTTTGGGGGGGGGGTTAAAAAGTTATCTTATATGCTGGAAAATATGGTAGTTCA